TGGGGGGCCGCGCGAGGTTGGGCGGGAGGCGGCAGCAGCAGCAGCAGCAGCAGCAGCAGCAGCAGCAGCAGCCTGACTTCAGCCACCATCATTCCCAGGGCTCTCCTGTTTGTTGTATTTTACGAGGTGGCTGCAGATTTATGCGCACCACTTTACAACGACGCTATTATTTAGAAACCTTCAACACTAATGCTGCACATTTTTATGACCTAATTCACAGGAGACCTTCAGAACTTTTTTTTTTACCTGGACAAAATGTAGTAATCAATGAGAGTGTGAAGAATCCTCTGACGGTGAAGATTGAGAACATCTGTACATCATGTCCTAGCTCTTGTTCCATCTCCTCATTGTCCCCTCACACTCACACAGTGTACAACCACCCCCCTCACCCCCCCGCCACACCTCTCCAGGGAAAAAGGAGACGATATTGCGCAGCTCCCTAACTGATTCCAGCAGCTCCTGTCCATCAGAGGAGTACGACTCATCCGATCCTCATTTTAATCTCATCCTCTTTTGCCCTCTCATCTTTGATCATACCATTATGCAGGTAGGAGGTCGTTTCATCTCTGTCAGCGTATCTGCCTTATGAGGCATTAAAATGAAGCCCCGGGGGAAAATGTGGCTTTGGCTGTGCCTTTAAATGGACAGAACAAAGTGATATCATGTTTTTAAAAGAACCACAACGGGTCAATGCCTATATGGACACCGTCCCTCCCCTCCCCTTTTCCTTTGAGCTTCAGATGTAAGGCTACAGAGACTGAAGAAAAAAAAAAACTAGTTTGACCAAAGAGACACATGGATATCCATGTTCCCATATCAAATACATCGAAAGACCAGGGATATCGTTCAGTAGGATACACAAGATGTTGAAGTGGGGATTAATATGGACAAACTCTTAATATATGTAGCATACCCAGATACATTTTATACATAAATACATACATATGTATAGAATTATATGCACATGTGTGTACATACACGTACACTCATTAAGGCTGTGCAGCAATTACAAGATTTAAATCAGATTAATCACAGGGTAGCTATGGATTAATCTAGATTAATCAAGGTAAACCGTCAAACAGATTAGTTTCTGTATACGTACGGCGGGGACAGAAAGACGGATGTTGTTCTCAAGAAAAACATGTAAAACCATGTCTTTAAATACTACCAAATATATGCAATAACTATGTAAAGAAAAAAGAAAAAAAAAATCAATATACATATGACCAGAAGTTAAAGCCTCTGCTGGAAGAGATGTGTTTCAAGACCACCCACAGTGTGTGTGTGTAAATAATAACATTTGTATTACAGCACTGATAAGTGTGTGTGTTCATTTTTGTATCCATTAAGAGAAATATTCTCTGACTAGGAAAAAGAGGGAGCACAGCTATAAAATATATCTTCTCACCTCTGTTGTTATCACTCTATATTTGTCTTCATTCCACCACACTCCCCCACCTTACCCCCCTTATCTGTCCACACCTCTGTGACTCCCCCCTTTGTCTTTGCTCTCTGTTATGTCTCGTGTTCTTATTCATCTTTCTGTGACACCTGTCTCCCCTCCTCTCGTCTTTCTCCCGGATGCTGGGGCGCAGTGGTGATCGATGAAGCTAGATTTCTGTAATCTGTTTCATTTGACATCTATCTCACTGCTGGCCAGAGAGGTTTAATCTGCAGTGGGCGAGGAGAAGGTGCTCGCTCTCTCTCTCGCGCTCGCTCACACACACATTATCTGTAGGCAGGGTCATCTTTTATTCCCTCAATCTTATCTCTATTGTCAAACACACGGATTCAATTGTGTCTGAAATTTAAAACAATTCAGAACCAGCTTCCCTAAGTGGCAAATGCATTGTCGTGTCTTAATAAGACAGAACACACGACAGAGTATGTAAAAGAAAAGAAAATATATAGACCCATAGATACTTTGCTGTTATATGTCTTAATTATTCTTACCATGTAAAAGTAGGAGAGACAGCAGCCAATCGCCCAGAACACTGAGCCCGTCTTCACTGATTTTACCTGCGAAAGAGAAAAGAAAAAACAAAACAAAGTAAGCAGTGATGCAAAAAAAAAAAATCACAGCGAACGATTGATTATAAACATCATGACATCAAATCAGATGTGTTTGTGTTTCACAGATGTGAATAACAAAGGCTACGTGGGCAGAAAAAAACATTTGTGATTATAACACAGCTGAAGAAGAAGGAGAACTAAACTCAAAGTCCAGACAGAGTGTCTCTGTTTAAGTTTCAGTTGTTTAACGCTTCACTGCTGTTGTCCTGAGACTCCATCACGGCCAACAATGCATGAGATTTGCCGATGAGAAGCAATTAATGATCGCTGGACCAAGCTGGTCCTGCCTCGCCCCAAATACCCAGCAGTGGAAGACCCCCGGATCAACCACCAATCAATCAGTGGCACAGCCAGTGTTAGACTGCATATACAAGCAGAAAATACTGTACGCGGAGGGGAAATAGTTGAAAACGGTACTTTCTGTGTGCTGAGGTAGGTCAAAGTAAGTAGGTCTGTTCTCATCTGGTCTTGTTAAAAAGAGCTCGGAACTACTGTGTTCTGTTGAAGGGAGGAGAAACTGTGATGTATTTGTTTGTCTTGTCTACGTGAGAGAAATTTGTGTTCCACTCAGACTGGATTAATGTCTTCAGGGCATAATTATTATTACATGCACTCAGCATAGACTGTAATCCAACCCAGGGAGGACATGTCTGAGTTTCAACAGTCACGACAGCCTTGGATTCCTGCAGTGGATTCCTCCTATTTATTTTATAAACTTAATAACATTCTAATTTGAATTCAGTATTATTTTCTTAGTCTTTGGAGTTTCATCCACTCAGCTTTTGCAACTTTCAAAAGTAGAAAATGTTTGTCGAGAGCTGGAGAGACTATTTGTTTAAGTCAGTCAAATGGGATTGGATTTTTAAAACGCGTAGGCTAATACGCTAGCCTGTAGCAAAGACAAATTAAAATGGATCCCATTTTTCACAGGCCCAACTTTACTCCAGTTAAACTAATGTGATTTATATAATTATATGAGTTCCCGTCAATGATACTTGTGTTGCACAACACACACACACACACTACTTAAGCACTTTCTGGAGTCAAGCAGACAAACACACTTAGCGTGTTTAATGTCCACCTCAGGTCAAAGCAGAAGTGCAGTCTGTGTGACACTTGGACACAGACAGAGACAGAGACAGAGAAAAAGTTGCCTGTATCTAAAAGACAACCTAACTTCAGATCTCTTTCTCAGCCATTATTTGGGAGAGTAGAGAAATAGGGTTGATTTTTGGCTGTTGGCAAGCAAGTAAAACTGCCTGTTTGATAATGTTTGACTGATGAAAGAGTCAATTCTGTAAATGTCACCTACCAACATCTACCTACTAATTAACTTATACATTATCAGAAACATGATGCCAAAGTAGCCCATGCTGTAGTACGTTATATTTTGTATATTTAATAGGAAGATTCTGGAGTATTTTGGACGGTTATAATCACATTGAATTTAAACAGTACCCAGATCCATATGCACAAAAAAATAAAAAAAATACTGCAAACCATCAAGAAGTGTCAATATAACATCCAAACTCAACAGACTTCTGTTGGTAACGACTGGCAGGAGCCGTGCAGCCACTAACCAACACTTCAGTCTCCAAAACACTTCTCTTCATGTGTGAAAACAAGCACCGCAACAAAACAGGAGGACGTGGCCGCCAGAGAAGCGACCCGGGGCAGATGTAGGACATGCTTGAGAGACCATATCCGTTGCCAACTGCTCCTCCCTCCAGGGTTTTGTAGAAGTCGATCAGGTGATGAGCGCCCGGGCCTGCCTGCTGAGACTGCTCAGACTTGGTCCCAGATCAGAGGAGGGAGATGATGGAAGGATGGATTAACAAAGATAGACCAGAGCCAGCACACAGCTCAGTGCCGTTACTACCCGCAAGGTGCAAATGCCACCGAGGTTCAACCGGTGCAGATGTTGCCTCTCCCAACTTCTGACACACTTTTGTGGAGAAACAGAAGTCACGGTGTGATACGCATCTGGTAAATTAAATGAGAGCTGGAAAAAAAAAAGAAAGAAAAAAAAGAATGGGAGAGCTGATACAACAATGTAGGAACGGTGCATGGGGTTTGAGAGGAGGGAGGAGGGCAGAGCAACTCTGTGTGTGTTAATGTTGCAAAGAACTACAGCATTAACGAAAGAGAACCCCCCCTGGGTTTGGCAGGATTCAATTATAGATTATGGAAGAGTGTGCAAGTGTGTGTTGTTGAGAGGGATGGGGGAATAAACAGATTAAGCAACTGGAGTTGAATAGGTTATTAGTGGGTAAAATAAGGGAGTCAGATACTGGCAGTTGGGCTGTGACTCCAGAGGACCACTGTGCGTTTTCCACATCAAGAATAGGGGTTTTATAGGGTGAAAACCTAAACCTATGGGTAAAAGAAAGACAGAAGGAAAGACACGGGATGATAAACAAATGGAATTTAGTGAAGACCTAAACAAAGGGCGATAGAAAGTAGAGCACAGCAAGTTCCAAACAAAGGCGGGGACAAAGGGAGACAAAGATGATTAGAGAGAGATGAGATGGAAGAGAGCGGGGAGGAAAAGAAAATACAAAGACAAATGTGGGTAAAAGGCTCTGATAATGGGAAGCAGCGGCGCGTGGCCAGGTTGATTGTATTTCAGCGGCTCTAGCCAAATAGGCTGAAAGATGTGAGTGGTGGTAGGTGAGTCGAGGAGGGGGGGCCGAGGACGACACATCAACGGTGAAAGGCAGTGATGTCTGCCATAAGAAACGCCTGCCTCGTCCAGAGGTGTTTTGTCCACAGGCACGAGATTAACAGAGGCCATTACCATGAGACGGAGACAAACAGACGTCCCGGACACACATTTCCTTGAGTAAGGTAGGTAATTACGGCGACGGCTCTTTGGATGAGCTCTGGAGAAGTTAAACTGATTGATCTCCAAGGCTCCAGCACACTTTATATTGATTTTGGATACAGGATTTAACACCTCCACATCAGACACAAGGACTTTTGAAGAACTTTCCTGGTCTGAGTCTCACCGATTCATGGCGGAGTTTTAATGTGGAGTATTTAACAAACACAGGTCCAGGTTTAGCAAATACTACTAGTGTGACTAAAAAAACAAACTAAAACCTGTTTTTCCACCTAAGGATCACTTTAAAGCATATGTTGTTTTTCTTTACTTCTTTAACAGCAGGACTTACTCTCTGGTTCTGAATCAACACTGGATTTAACCCGATTGGTTTGAGTTTAATGCCAACACTATATAGATGGAGTCAATGTTTTCACTTTCGTCAAATTGGTTTGAGTTTAATGCCAACACTATGGGTTCACACGTCAATAGGTAAGTAGAATGAAAATATGGTGAGAATTAAAACTTTTATACTGCAGGTGAGGAAGCCTCAGAGTCTAAAAGTTTGACTTAGCTGACTACACATTTCTGGGGATTCAACTTGGACTCAACCCAAATGTTTTTTTCTTCAGTGTCCTGACATTGAGGGGCATTAAAATGAGTCCCATCCAAATGAACTTGAACCAGACGACTCTTGGAGTCAGAGTTTTCTTAAAGCGTTTTCTCGTGTGATTTAAGACTTAAGAATTTGTATTTAAACACCAATAAGTGACTCCATCAGCTGTTACTAGGCAGGTCAGTAAAAGTGAACAGTATCAAAAAGACTCACCCTGTGACTCATATTACCTTGAAAAAACAAATAACAAAAATAAATATGCTTTAGAAACATGCCATTGTTGTAAAGACAGCAGAATCCTTGGGTAGATAAAAGCCTGTGATGCCGTGACAGGCAGCACTAGGACGTTTCATGATGAAACACCTACATCACCTCCTCCACCTGGATAATAAGACACTACAAAAACAAGTCTTTAAATTTAGATGCAACGACTAATCAATGCCTTAAAAAAAAAAGTCTACCAGACACAACTGACTGCCTCTGGCATGAATAACTAAGTTCTTTCTCTGTTCATCTGTTCAGCCAACTTGAAACAGAAAAAGTACCACTTTTCTGTTCATCCGTCTGACACCGAGCTCTAATTCCATTTGGCCGATAAGCAAAATGAGAAATGTCTGTGTGAAGCTGTTCATCGAGGATCAAATGACAGCAGTTAATTATATATTTGATTAAAATGGAAATAACGATCATAAGCAATGCCTCGCTGCTTACAAACGTCAATTTGAAGCAGAAAATGAAAAATGAAGTTAAGTGACGTGGTTGTCACTTAAGGCATATTAGTGACATATTTCTTTTTAGCGATTTTGTATTTAAAGTACACTGTGGGACTTGGTTACTAATGGTAACCAACGGTTTGGTCCTTGATCATTTTTATCATATAATCCAAGAGAATAAAGCAAAACTGGACATAGTGAAAAAGAGTAGTGGGTTCGAACGTCGCTCCAGTGGAAGAATAGTTTTAGATACGTATACAGTAATATAAGATTTATCAACATTGTCACCTGTGTTACCTATGACTTGGACTTTAGCTTTCATTTTACAATTCCTTAAAACAGGATCTGAATGAAAAATTACGGTCTAGTTTTACAAGAGTCAAAAAAAAAAGGTTCCAAAAACAAAGTAGCGCCCTAATACATAGTAATCTTTTGCAAATACTGTAATACCGCAGCATCTGAGGTAAATAGTGAACGGAATCCAAAATGTTCAGGTGCAGTTAAATGTCAGGGAGAAGCCTGAGCAAAGTTTGAGCTAACAAAAGTGCCACGAGATTGCAGTTTGAAAGGACTCGCTGTAGGAATTTAAAAAAAAAAAGATTGGCAGACACATAAAGACGCCTTCAGCTTTACAGCTGAGCAGCAGGAAATGTTTTTTCAACAGGAGAACAAAAAAAAAAAAAACATGTTAAATACACTGTTTCGTCGACTCCCTCAACAAGGACAAATTCTACGAAATTAATCTGCATTTAGACAAAACAAAGAAAGAAAGAATAAGAGCTGCGATGGCACATTCATCCCACACCTGTTCCAGTGCAGGTTAATTTAGCAGGTGTCGACTCTTTGACAGTCAAGTTAATTACTTTACCTTGATATTCAATCTCTGATGGGAGGCAATTTGCTTAAATAGAAAGTCATTTTATAGACTCAACACAAATCCCATAATATTGCATAAGTGGAAAGTGTGCAGTAGTGTTCTAAAAAAAAAAAGAAAAAAAAAAGAAAAGAAATCAATAATATAATGTGCATCTGCACCTGTAGAACCATTTCTCTTTCTGTTTCACTAGTTTCATAGTAGTCAGGGAATAGCAATAAATGTATAATTTTTTTGCACAGCATTTTGTTAAAGCCTTGCACAAGTACAACCTACTACTGCAACGGCCCTTTATAAAACATTTACGTTACAAGTCCGACCCAGCTCTTAAATGTCAGGAGACGGGGAGTTTATTGGAAGGAACCTTTTTACTCACAGTTTCATTAAAACCTGTTGTCTGAGCATATGTTGACTTTTCTTTCTGTCCTCTTTTCTTCAACCCTGCTATGGTTTTTATTTTTAGTTCTACAAAACATTTTACTTCAGCCGATGCCGATGCATGTTGAGTTCACAAATGTGAAATCGAAGACAAAAATAATAATTATTTTGTCCTGCAGAATAATTCAACAAAACACACGAGTGTGAAGGCCCAGAAATCTGAAATAAAAAAAATATTCTGACAACGGTGTGCACCTCCAAAGCTATAGATGTTAACATCTATAACACAACTATACTTGATGCCTTGTCATTGGCTGCTGGGCTGTGAAATCAGTGCTGATGCAACTGAAGGACAGACGAGTGAGACAGAGTACAGTAATAGTCTGTCCATGAGTGAAAATCACCTCACTTCCTCTTTGGAATTTGCCTTGACTCTTGTATGAAATACTTTTAGTCTGAGTATTTTATGTTCTACAAATATATATATACATTTTTTTATCTGAGTTTTTCTTTATCTGGTTGAGAACAAGGTTGAACTGGAGCAATTATGCCCGGGACTTTCTACAAGGACGTGCAGTAGCCGGCCAGGAGGGGTAAAAAAAAAAATTTTTTTTTACTTGAACCTATTTTACACCTGAGTGAGCGGGTCACTTTAATTTAAATACTGAGTCACTGGATAACAGAGTGTTCTTATAATTGCAACACAACAGGAAGCAAAACCTCAAACACAACACTGCATTAGTTTACATAAAATAAAACTCCCCCTAAAATTGAATGCGTGCACATACCCAGAGGTAGTAGGTGAACTGCAGGGCGAAGATTGCGATGCCCTCATTATCAAAAGAGCCAGCCACCGAACGGGAGATGTATCCGGGGACGATGGCGATGAAGCAGGCCGCCAGCAGCCCCGCGCCCTGATTCCACAGCTCCCGTGTCAGCAGGGAGGTGGAGATCGCCGTCAGGCCGCTGAACACCGGTGCCAGGAAGACGCACACGTCTCTAATGTGGACAGTGATGTGCAGCAGGTTCAGCATGTAGTGTATGAGGCCCGCAGTCACCATTAACCCTGGATAAACCTGAGGGGAGGAGAGACAGAGGAGAGAGGAAGAGGGAGGAGGGAGGGTAAAGGGGGGGAAATGAAAATGTAGGTTAAAAAAGTGGCTGCAGTTAAACAGACAATGACAAACATTTACCACCGATTCTATTTTTTTTTTTCATACGTACTTTGGTTCTAGAATCTGGTGATACGATACATATCACAATACAGAGGCAACAGTACGATATATCGCAATATACTGCGATACTACAGGCATTTTTAAACAATATAAGTAAATTTTTGAAAAACTGTCAGCCTACATTTGTAATGAAAAATAAAAGAACCAACGCAACCAACTCAAAAGTTGCATGTTAATTGTTAAGAAACATTTAAACTGCAGAATATCGATACAGCGATACTACAGGCATTTTTAAACAATAAGTACATCTTTGAAAAACTGCCAGCCCCAATAAAAGAACCAACGCCATCAAAAGTTGCTGTTAATTGTTAAGAAAAACTGATACCGCAGAATATCGATACGGTGATATTGGTACCGTGAAGCTTAATGTTATGATATTTCAGTGTATCAATTAATTCATACAGAACTGTCATCATTGATATTGGTACCGTGAAGCTTAATGTTGTAATATTTCATGTATCAATATTTTCATACAGAACTGTCGTCACAAAAATGTCACAAAACAAAAAAAAAAAACTGGGTAAAATATTCCACGACAAACACAGTCCAGTACAAAGCTCCACTCAGCTGCCGGGGAACCAGTGACCCAAACCTCATTGGTCCTCGTATCACCACTAGGGCAAATCCAATTAGGACCTTGTCTGGTACACAGGCTGTATGAAGTACAAAAGGCAAGGCCATGATTAAGGTGTAAGTGATGTCTCTGATGAAGGTTCACAGCAGCTATGGCAGTTCATGCTTTTTGACTCACCGCTAATAAACTCAGGTTTTCACCTCTCTAATTAGTTGGCGCCTAGGAGACCTAAACTTCATCAGGCAATCTACTTCGATGAAAATCAACCACATCCCGGCTCTGAGGTCTGAGAATTGAACTCGGTCTAATAAAGAGATATCCTGACAGGTTTTCTTTTTTTTAAAGTATTCATGTAATTAAGAGCAGTTTTGGACCCGATGGTGCTCAAATTCTCACAGCGGTGATTATAATAGACCTGAAGCCTCATTGAAACTTTTTTTTTCCGTCCGCAATTGTTGGCATGACAGACAGAATTCTAGGACGATAATTTCTCAATTTCCGTTCTCTGCATTGAGGCTCAAGAAAACAAAACAAATAACTTTCTAAACTGACAAACGATGACAAAACGCAGCCGATTCCTCATCCTTACGACAGCAACGAGTGGTTTTGGGAGGATTCAATAATAAGCTGTCACATTAGGAAATCCTTCATTCGTTATCTAATGGCTGACATGAAAGAGCCAAGTGACGGCTGTTCTCTGGGGAAGGAAGAGGTGGATGTGTGTGAAAGGGAAAAACAAAGAAAGAGGGGGGAGGGGGAGGGGGGGGCAGATGGATTGGCCCAGACATAAAGGTAACCTGACCATCATTCAAGTGCATGGACATCTGAAGCAATCATACACTTCAAAAATTAATAAGGTTTGTCAGTATTATCTGGCAGAGTTTGAATGAAAAAAAAGAGGAGGAAAGTGGTTGAAAAGATGAGCTCAGAGGAACAGACTGGGGGTGGAAGAGGACAGCTGGTCACTGAAACAAGGAAGGAAGGAAAAAAAAATCTAACAGCAGAGGTAAGATGGTGGGAGAAAATGGAAATGAAAAATGTGAGATTCAAAGGCAGAACAATAAAGGGTGAGTTGTTGATTATTTCAAAGGTGGTTTTATGAAATCCAAGATAAGGTCATAAACTGGAGCCTGTGATCATGGTCCTCTTCTCTTAACATTTCCAAACAAATGCTGTTTATCAGAACATCGACACACTGGGTTTTTTTCCACACCCCTGCAGGCCTTGAAAAGCATAAGCTTGATGCAACTGAACCCTCATACACACATTGACTTTATGATTCCAAATGCAGTGTGGGAGTAAAAGCCTAAATGCCTTTCTCCCCCGAAGCCCATTTTGGCTCAGAAAATGATGTAACTCAGTCATGCAAACAAGTGGAATTTAGAACGTCCTCTCACACACTAACAAATGGGGTTCTGTTCCTCTAACAATGGTGACCGGGGTAATTCTGGCTTTTTTTTTTTTTTTTGGTCAAGACTGTTTTGAGTCTTTAAAGTAAAACCCTAAGGATGTTGGAGCTTAATCACTGAGCCTTCTGCTCAGCACTCTGTGGAGGTCTAATCTATTCACCCACTCCTGGATCTCACCTTCTTCTATTTAATTGCATACATTTGCATTGTTATAAGACAGAGGGGCCAAAAGGATGACCCGAGCACCTGCTACTGAAAGGCCAGCTAACTCCTCGGGGCAGAGAGTGACTCACCATCTGCCACTTCACTTAAACAACTTGTACCGCGGGCTTCAACAGTTCTAAGTCCTTTCAAGGTTCCTTAGATCGAAAAAACAGCAGCGCAATGCTCTGATGGTACGTTTGATGTTCGGTGGTAAACAGCTAATTTACACCAAACCCTACGTAGAATCTTTTTAGAAAATGCAACAAAAGCTTTACTTTCACCTAAAACTGTGAGTTTTTTTTAAATAAATAAAAAAAATTGTTGAGCTGCAGGCCCTGGTGATTGACTCAAATGAGATAAAAATGCTCATGGCTGCGGAAGGAAATGTCACGCATTGCAGTGACGGTTTTAAACAATGGATCTCTATGGCACAGACTCATTTTTCAAAAATAATCACAGGCTGTACACAGTTCTGTGCTATTCTCTGTAGGGTTTCTATTTTATTCACTGAAAAGAACAAGTAAAAATACCATCTGACAGTGGATCTAATGCAGCGCATCTTTCTGTGTGACATTTAAATGAGCTCATTCGGTTTAACGAGTACCAGGTAAAAAGTAATGCCACACAGCAGTTCAAACAGAATTTCTTTTGAGTTCAACTTTTTTTTTTTTTGGAGCTTTTGTGGTTTTATTTCGAAATCAAACATAAACAAATGTAGGCCTCGGTTCCTGAGCCAACCACTAAAAAAGTGTTGGTATGTGTAGGTGATAAAATGAGGCACAAAGAAAGCATTCGAGAATCCAAATTCACAAAGTGTGGAATTATAGACAGGGTCTGTATGTTTGACTGGTCGGCCTGCAGGCCAGATCCTAGAAATTACTGGTGCCTCAAGAAATCAGGCAATAGTGACAGGGCAGTGGTTAAGGATGTGGCGTTTAGTTCGGAAGGTTTCAGGTTCAAATCCTCCAGCCAAGTTGCCACTGAGGAGCAAATGATTTACTTTCACTGGTGACCATCTAAAGTCTTACAAAAAAAATCTCAGTTCTCGGTTAAGTTGCATACAGCTGCTAATTTGCTGGACATCAAACTTAAAATTGTCACAAACTCTCTGACAATTGATGTTCCAAGAAGAGCTAAACTGTTAAAATGTGTAAAATATCATAGAATAATAAAATGCATCCATACCTAGTTGAAAACAACAGGTGACTAAAGTGAAAATCATAAAAGAACCAAACATAAAGACGTTGCAAGGACAAGTTTACCTCTGTAACAGCTGTGAACACAGACACTCAGGAGCCATGAGAATCACTCACATTATACAAACTGAATCCTCTCTGCTCACGGTCCAAATGCTGGGTTTAACTTTTTTTTTTAATGCCAAGGACACCACAAATCAAACTCTGGATTACTTTGACTTCTGACTTGATCTTTGTTTTAAGAAGTATTGATCTGTTTTCTGGATTTATCGCTTGTGCTTGATTTATTTTAACTGCCTCAGACCAGATTAAACCTCTTTTACCCCTTTCACTGAATGAGACTTTAAGGTTTAATCTCAGCATTTTAACTGCCTCAGACCAGATTAAACCTTTTACCCCTTTCACTGAATGAAACTTTAAGGTTTAATCTCAGCATAAAAAAACTGCCCAGTCTGAAAGTGTAACAATCAACGAGTGTAAAGGCAATGATTTTGTATCTCATAAAAATGTCCTGCTGTGCATTAAGATTTTCATCCCGTTCTATTTTTGTGTTGGTCTGGTTTGAGAATGGTCTGATCAAAATGTTAAGAAATAAATGGAAAAATAGTGGTGCAATGACTAAAATCCTCCAACTCTATGAATTTTGAGTTTTTCTTTTGCATATCTTTAATTAATAATTCCTTCCTGGGATTAGTCACAAATAAAACACACATGCTGGAAAAAAAGAAATATGCATCTACCTGCTGTTAATTGTCTTTCTGTTCCAGCAATTCCACTCGACTAATCCGGATTAACGATGATTAATCTACTGCTGCCCTGTGATAAATCAGATTTTAGAAAACTTAACTGTCAAACAGCCCCAGAAGTAAGAAGTCATCTGAACTATTGAAGATGTTTTTTTTTTTTCATAACAGAGAATCTTCACTCGCTGCGAAAATACGGTCTGAAGTCGCTGCCATTTCCTCCTAATGAATATCATTTAAACAGTCCTACAGTTATAATGGTTATTGTGTTTATAACATTCAGCCATGCATGAAATACCAATACAAAAAAAAAAAGAATATATACTTTATACTGTTATTTGTATGCAGGAGACAATGTGTCCCGCGGACCATGAATCTCTGCAAATGTCATGAAAATTAACCAGAATTTATGTGTCGTCCAATTCCGATTACCAGTCTAATCATGAGTTTCAGCCTCCGGCCTGTGGCTACCAGGCCCATCTCCAGTATGAATGTGGTGTAACAGGAGCCGCACATCCGTTATTATAAGTTGGACTTGTCGTATGCAATTACTAGCAGCTGATGGTAATTACTTATGACTGATGAATGCAGATGGATTGGCTTTAGATACCGACGCCCTGCGTCTCCTGTTCAGTAGTGAACACTATTCGCTAACATCAGTTCAGGCATCTGCACCATCTGTTTGGTGCTTTTACCATGGAAACACAGGGCACTGATGTGCCTCGGTGTCCTGGCAGTGCAGTGAATCTTTGAAATTATAGTTAAAGGACTGAGTTTTTCAGAGGAAACAAACAGAGAAAGAAGTCATAATACAGACGTCCAGGGCTGGAGCTGCAGCTCCTCTTCTCTGCTGGCCCTGATAATGAAACATGCAGGGAGGCATTTTTACATTTATCTGACACCGTAGACCAGTGTTATATAGTGGTGGTGCATCATTAGCTACTGTAATTAGAGCGTAGAGTCCAACCCTGGTGAGTCCACGCAGTTCAGCTGAGAAGAAAAAAAAAGAAAAAAAAAGACAGAGAAAAGAAAACGAAATAGCGTGCAGGTGGAGAGATGTTAAAGACGAGAAAAAGATTGATAGGCAAGAGGTACTTCACTCACACAAACTTCACTGTTCACTGGAGGCAGAGATGAGAAGATGAGGCTGGGTGAAGACAAACAGCACAGAGGGGGGTGGGGGTGGGGGGACCAGGGAAATAGGAGACAAATTGCACGGAATCAGCACATTGTGTTTTCTCTTTTCCCCCCTCGTCTTTTAACACAAAGGAGTTCACGTAACAACACGGCTGGTGCTGCAGGTAAACAGGCAGAGCAGAGCAGACAGCCCAGGGAAATCTGTCATGTTAACGCTCACTGTTGCAACAAGATTGGGCTTTAAATCCCTGCGTCTCAGTGGACATTTGTAACGTTGAACTGTATCGCTGCACTGCTCCGCCTCACCCTGGGTGACCTTAGATTTGAACTGAAGCCACGATGAAACATCAGAGAAGAGGTAGTGGCTTTGGTCAATCTTTGTTTTTTTTTTAGTCTTTCTTTGCACAAATTCATCTGTGTGCAATTAGACCTAAAATGACATATTTAAATAAAAACTATTTTTTGAGTTAAACAACATAGTATTGAACATGTACTAGGTCTGGATGATATGGCCCAAAATCATATCTCGATATTTCTCTGCCCAATAAAATATCAACAAATGTTCGTACAGCCACAAGAATTTCCCTGTGATTTCATCATATTTCAAAAGAATATGCACAAAAACATGTAGATGAAACGCATGTAGACATTTCACAGGTTGCTATGACACAGTCATGTTTACAAATGGCCGACAGTACAGCTCCAAACTTGGCATCGGTTTTAAGAAGTCAACAAGTCCAATAATTCATTTAAAACGGTGCCAAAGGTGTAGCCTTTTCTCCTACTTGTGTCTACAAAGGGTGAGGCTTCTCCTTTCCTCTCTCTCACACTCACACAGTCAACAGTCCAGATTAATGTGCACTCGGGTATGTCTGATGATGTGGCCTAATGAGGTAATATCTTTTAGCTACGATTCTGTAACCACTAAAGTTTTATTTGAGACAGACTGGCTTGTATTAGCAGTTTTTATTCTCCCCCAAAGAAAACGGGGGAGTCACGGGAGACGTTATATAATGTATTCAAGTGACATCAAGGGTTGACATTCCTTTCAAAACGCGTGGCTCTTAAAGCACACGTCAAAGTACCGCAGAGCTTTAACGCCGTCTTGATGTAGCAGTTCGGTGTAATTGTGTTAGTCTGCACACAGCTGCTCCAGTTTCATCAAATTAAAACTGAGACCTCATATTTAGCCATGGAGACCGTGATAAAAACTTCCATTCATCCATCCTTCTTTTTGCTAACCAGGTCACCTTGCCAGGGTGGCTGCAGACTTTTTTTCTTCCAGCACCAGCTCCTGGGAGACCTCAAAGCTCCGCCACGGAGTGCAATCCATACAGTATGTTCTGGATCAGGACCAGATCTAAAGGGATGTGTGAGGAATGTTCACTGAGCTGATTCACTGTCCAAAAACAACAACTTCAGATTTAAACGCCGCTCGTCACTTTGCTGATCACAGGCAGACCGCGAGTCAAGTCACATCAGAAAAATAAGCCGTTATATCTCGGAATGATTCACTTTTCTTGGATTCAGTCCTAACGAGCATGGAATTTTTTTTTTCCGGGATTCAGTTGTGAAAACTTATAGGCCTCCTTCAGTCATTTTGCATTAGTGGCCTCAGCATTTTATATTCCCAAAAATACCCTCCTATAAGACACCCAGTGGGACATCGTCCAGGAAGCCTCACAGCTCATCATCAGTCAGCCACACACTCGTTTTCTGCCTCTTTGCATAAGCCCTGTGTGAGGGGGCCGAGAGCTGCATTGCATTTTTTGGCTGTTTTTTTTTTTTGAAAAGTGAAAACCAACACTCAGAATTCTGTGCATGTTTCAGTCAGCCTATTTAAACTTAAGGAAATCCTTTCTCATCCAAATGAGGAGTGCAGTCACTTTTCTACCTATAGCTCTGTAGTTTAAAGTCTGTGTGTGCCGTCACTTTGAAATAAATAAGGGCTGTGGGCCAGGATATAGAGTAAAGATTGGTGAATATAATTCAAAATAAACTTCAATCAATCAATATATATTCAGTAGATTATAACAACATAAATGGACACTGGCTCCAGCCTTATTAATAAACACAACACCGAAAAGCTAGCAGTGCACTGAAAGAACTAGAGAGTGTAGCGCAAAGTAACTAGTATGTAAGTATTGTACATTTTGTACTTGGATACCAATAGATGATGGACTAAAATGACACTGATGTCTGAGCTCTTTGGGAAATAGGTTGACGTGCAACAGAAAGTGAGCAGAGCTTTTACATCTTTGGTGCATTTCCATAACAAAAAAACAACTAAATATTGTATCTTGATTTTCAGTCAACAAAGTTAGTAGAAAATCTAGTGAAAAGTACTGTGCCACTGGTTCAGAGAATACCCTCATGTACTAGTACGAGAGACTACGATAACAGTAATACTGATACTTGTTCCAGTACCTTACTAGAATTAATGTACATTACTGCAGACCGCACTGGTACACTTGCTGTAGTGAACACACTTAATGGGGTACGATTACAATCTTTATCCACATTTATAGTGTTTCTACAGTAATTGTATATAAATGACATAAAAAGAGTTTTACTACAGCAGTAGTGGATCACTGAGAAGCAGTCTCATTTTTATAATTCAGTTAAACAGTCATAAAGTGTTATTTCCTGTTGCATAATCATCATATAAAGTCATTCTGAAGAACCATTTCACAGAAAAAAGTTGTATTATTTTTTAAGTTGTTTTTAGCCTTTTCTAAATGTCAGAAACCTAAAGTTTTGCTACTTCAAACTGACTCATATTGGAAACTTTTTTTCCACCTCTATTGTTAAAAGAAAAATAAAACAAAAAACCTAATCTACATTTTACTATAACACCTGGAAATATGAACAATAAATAAACGCCGCAAGACTCACTGTGCCGCCAACGATGCGACCCAAGGGATACCAGGCTCTTTCATCAAACCAGTTGAGGAACTCGTAGAATCCATTGGTGGTTAGATGGTGTGTTGATCTATAGTTGAACCTGAAGAAACAGCAGTGGGAGAGAAGAGAAAGGACTGAGTGTTTGGTAAAATAACAACCATTCAGGGAGACGAACAGTCATTCCAATTTATGGAGCACTCTGAAAAATGGCACAGCTATTGATAGAGCAAAAATCATGTTGGGGGGGGGGGGTGAGTTATTTTATTACAACATTTACAAAAGGCAGGAAGAGCTAGTACACAGCAGCACAGACTTAGCCTCGTTAGAATGGTGAAGATAAAGCCTCAGTTCTTTGTGAGGGCTTTTGTGCTCATGCCAACAACTCCAACGCAATGTTTTTTTATTTTTTTATTATTTATTGTAAAGAAATTTTCAACAGCAAAACACCCACTCGCACTGAGGTGACAAATTCATAAAATGGCTCAGCTTTTAGAATGGAAAAATAAAATTATCCTCACATAATATACAAGTTCTACTGCTGTAAACAGGCCCTGATTCACACGGTGGCGGTGTTAAGTCGAGGGGGTTGGAGTGCTGTCAAGAGGCTCAAGTAAAAAAAGCTGACAGTGTTGAGGGAACGGCTGCCAAATAGAATGATGCAAGTCCTCAGAAAAATTTATGGAAGCATCTATTTTTGGCCCCTCTGTTTATTTATGGTCTTTTATGGTTTAACACACTGTTAAAAATTAGAGCTGATGATCTCTTCTGATAAAACTTAATTTGTTTTTCTAGGGCTGAAGTTGTGCACTTAAATTGTAATATCAGTGTTTAAGACCCAACCAATGAGATGAGAGAACATGAACTCTTGTGGGTCCAAAAACTGGCCATAAAGACAATATAAATTAGCAATGTAAATGAATGAAAAAAATGAAAATGAAAAAAACCCAAAATGTATCCATTTGTTTAATTTTGTTTAACAAAATCCCACCATCACACATTGTGATCACAGCAATATTTCAAACCTTTTTTAAGGCTTTATGAAAATTAATATAATTTTAATTGTAATAACTAAGGCTTTATGAAAATTAATATAATTTGAATTGTAATAATTCTGTTCACCTTCAAACCAAACCACACAATCTCTGTTAACTTATGGTTTAACACTAATAGAAAGTTGGCTTTTTTTTTTTTAATATACCAGTCCCCCAAACCTCGACTCGTAGGCAATATTCTGTCACCACAGCGTGTTAGCGTGGGCCGATTAAACTCATGATCGGAGCAGTGCGTTAATAAATAAAATGCTGGATTTAACTGCAGCTCATTAATCATCACAACCTACTTGGTTTCTCTACATCCTCCTCACTGCACTTGTCACATAGACTCCCAAGTAAAAAAAAAAACAAAAAACACAGATTGTACAGCTTGCTTTTCTTCATGGGAAAATTTATGTTGAAAATATTTATTTTAGATCAACATGTGTCAAGTAGAGAAGATTAAAAAGAACTTGACATTTGAGGAAATTAAAGATTCATCGACTGACTGACAACGTGGAACAAAATCTGGACTGAGTAACATTTAGGTATTATTTATGACAGCAGTCGCTGTAATTTGTGAGTCAATGAGATTAAGGTAGTAGAAAATTCTCCAGGCATGCATGCTCGGATAAAATAAACACCATCACTGGGAAAGAGCTGTTAAGGAGCTGGTGAGAAGGTCTGTACTTGTAACTCCCCAGGAGGTCACACCGTGTTATGCAACAGGAGCCTGACTGTCTGACTGACATTTCTTTGGTCTGTTAGGTTGATAAAGTAGAAGGTTTAAGGTTCGGTTTAAAAGGAGCGTCAAACAAAGTCTGCACAACCCTGACTGTCCGTTTAAAAAACATGAACATCAACAGACTGACAGCCTTGTGTTACTGTCTACCAACTATTCACCACAGGAGATTTCAATACTTTATTTTATTTTCCAAAAAAGAAAAAATGGTAGCTTCCAACACAGTATCATCGACAAAGCTTAATCGTAATGCTAAAAAATTATAGACCACCCTAAATGCATTTTCTGAACAATGTCAAATGTGGTTATTAATGAGTGACATTTTATTCCTACTGTACATGACAACACAACACCATCAAACATAAAGTGATACTGTGCGGTGACGAGCCAATCCCACCCACCGCAACGCCACTGCCAAGTCCTATTCACAAAAACTATTTCCCAACGATCTCGTGAACGGCCAAGCAGAGCGGTTTTATTCCTGGTCCTTGTCACTTTGATGGGGTGGATAATGTAACTCTGCCAGCAACATTAGCAATTTAATGCACAGCTGCCAATACAGTCTCGAGCAACAGTGCTCGTAATTACCAGTGAGGCCTTCGCTGCACCCCCGACCACAGGCAAATTGGGTTGGAGCGGAGCGAAATGCCTCCATTACACCAAAACAAAATCTCCTGGATAATTATCTGGGAAAAGGAAAAGGAAGGAAAACTGTCATGTCATCTCCTGAGATAATGTGAGAAAGGAGAGGGAAAAAAGAGAGAGACAATTAAGAAGGCCATATTACCCCATTAATATCACCCAGGGCCCCCTGCTGGCATCATAATTCGTTTTAATCAAGGTCCATTTCACTGATTATCAGATTCCTGGTGAGACAGGACCATCATCGGCCTGCATGAATAAGTGGCCTGTGTTGGTGTTTACAAGCCAGTAATGCCTCACTCTGCACCCACCATATAATCCGATTGCATCATTGCTCCCCCCCTCCCCTCCCGGCCCCCCACTCGTTCCCAGTATGGTGAAGGTCTAAATAGGCTTTGGGTTTCATGGGTGTAATCACTGTCCTGACTAATTACCACCTCTGTTCAGATTTTGAATGAATAACCTGTAAATGAGAGCCTGCTCGGCTACACAGAAGGAACAAGAGGTAATTTAACATCCGCTTCCGCACAATGAGACGTCCTGCAGATAGGCAGGTCTCATCATTATCAACACAATGTCATGTTATTGGCTTTTTTCCCCCCTCCTCAAAGGCGGGAGTCACAAAGGTCTGTAATGGAGGCAACATAACATGTGAAATCTCATCAAAGGTGAACTGAGGGGTCTGTGGGTGAAGATGGGGGGCGTCAGTCCTGGACCGTAACATCTACTGGTTCACTGAAAAGCTAACAAGGCTTTAATAAAAAGATCACAAGGTGTCGAAGTAGACACGGAAGTGTAAGCATTCGTGTTTATATATGTGTGTGTGTCAGGGCGGTGGAGGACATCAAAAGTTCAAAGATCTACTCAACATTTGGGGCAAAAGGTCAAAATGTAAGAGACTTAGAAGGAGAATTAGAAGGTTCTTCAAAACCCAAAATGGAGTTTTCTGGAGTACCATTTTACACAAAGTTTCTGGATTGTAGAATCCAAGACATGCTACATGTACTTGTTACTGACCTGTTAAATTAAAATAAAATAGAATTATTTTTGGAGACGAAATCCCAAAAATAGATACATACAAGGTAATAATGTAAAAATGCAGAACTGAATTAATTAATTAATTAAAACAAAGTCAGTGGCAGTAATTACAGCAAAGATATGCAGCAGCTACAATGCGACGCGGTCGAACTTCATGTGATGTTGTTTACACAAACCGTACAAACACAGAGCATGAATATCATTAGGAAGTGAGTACTAAAAATAAAACTAATTGATCTGCAAAGTCAGATGTTTCCAAACCTCCCAAATAGGAAAAATATAATTACCCCTAATCTAACTGTGTAAACACTGGCTGACACGACACTGAGTATTCTTCCAAAATTGCATTTGGCGCAAAAAAAAGAGCTGTTTATTCCACTTGAGTTTTGGAAATAGATATTACTTTAGACTCCAGACCGCTGTAAAAGATTTGCGATATTAAAATGAAGTATGAATTACTGCAAAGTTATACACACATAGTCCTCCTACAGGGACCTGATCTGTGTGGACTGAAGGGCTTATTATAGTTAAAAATATTCAAACAGACTTCCAGAACATGCCAAACTGAAACTCCTGGCTTTGGCCAAGAATCCGCAGCCCATCACTAATTAATTTTTTTGCCACCACCCATTCAGAATTGGAGCCAACAACACAACAACAGAGTCTATCCCTTCACTGTATGGTACTGTTTACTGTGCCCTAAAGAATAAACAGCCATAAGTGTCTCCACCTGCTGGGCTTAACCATAATATATATAATTCGTTTCAAAATTTCATTTTTGTTACCTGCTCTAGTTGTGCCTACACTGCAAGTAGTACTACACAAGCACAGGTACTAAAACAGCGTCCATTCACTGGGGAAATACAATGGAAAATTGTTAATAAATAATTGACAAAACACGGATAATTAGCCAAAGTTCCAATCACAACAGTGGGCTGATTAAATATTTATTTTTGAACAATCCTTACTAATGAACGTGAAACTAAAATGGCCTTTTAATGTGGACTTTTAAAATGAACCAGCTGGCAGAATCAACACCAACAGATGGTTTGTTTTTTTGTTTGTTTTTTTGTTTTGTTTTTTAAAGCCTGGGTGGTGGCGGCGGTGGTTTTAAGATCGCTGTGTCGATATGCAAACAGCCCAACGACTGCCTGTTCAGACTAATGAATGAAATTTGAAAAATGGCAACGCTTGGAGACATAATAGCAGAAATATCGACTCGCCCAGGGGAATAACTTCAATACACATTACTCTGGCTCCTAATGGGGCCATTAGACATTGAATAGTTATAAACTCACATTGTTTATTTGTGCCACGAGCTGCACATTGTGACACCGAGGATGGAGATGGAAATCCAAAAGGGTTTGCTGCGTGTCAGAATAGAATAGTTCTTTAGTAAACAGCCCACAGTATTTGTCCTGGTCCTATTACACACGTCGCTTTCATTTATGTCTAACCTGCTACTAACAAACATGTTAAAGTCTTTGTTACCGCAGGGGTGTATTCCCTTTATGTAAAAAAAAAACTGGGTTTTCAACCAACACAACTGTATGTTTTTCTGTTTTCCCCTCAGGCTTTGATCTACATCGGTGTACAAACGGCTTCATCCTTCGCCGCACTACGGCTTAATAATGCCGTGTAAATCTA